CCCCCGTGAATGGGAGCGGGTTTCACCGCCTGCCCAGGAGTATCCTCGGGGAGGCAGCAGTGGGGGGACCCGCGCGGGGGAGCTCCCCCAGGGGCAGCTTCGTTTCTTGTTGGGGCTTGGGGAAAATCTGGCTTCGCCGGGGACCTGGGTGAGGAAACGCCACTTGGTCTCGACATCCAGCCAGTTGCCAAAACTGGAGCCCGTTTGCCACACTGAACTGCTCACCGACACTCCTGGGACACCTGCCTGACTGTGCCCCACCAAACAGACTGCACGGAGAGGGGAGGAGAGGAGCCGAGTCGAGCTGTCCCCCCGATTTCCCTCCTTGTAGTAAAGGGGTCTCCGACGTTCCTCAGAACAGCAGCAGATCAAGTACGGAGATGTGGGAGCACTTGAAGCATTGCTGTCTAAACGACAAAGGAATATTCTTTTTTCTCCATTGAGCGACACAAGCACCTATTTCTTTTCAGGCAGCCACAGTTACTTGGCTGAGAAAGTGGTGTTTTGGGCACTCGCACAGTGTTTGCAGGTCTGTGAACAGCGCAGAGTAGGATGCAGAAGCGTCCACACGGCTGTTGCACAGGTGCAGCCTTCATTGGCATACGGAAATGAGGGCCCTGGTGTTTTAGCTGAGTAGTTAGTGAACTCACATGAGAACTGCTATCTACTGGGTCAGACTACAGGTCCCTATTGCCCAGTATCCTGTGTCACATCATTGTTTTTAACTGGTGATCTCACTCCTGTCCCTGTTTTTTTTTTGTTTTTTTTTTTTATTATTGCCACTGTCTCAGTAGCCTTCCTCTCTGATGGGGGCTTAAAGGGCATCTTTACATGTGCTTCAGGGTGGAGGGGGGGGCCCTTTAATTAGAGCAACTCTCAGAGGCTTTAATGAGTTTTAGTTAAAGCACCCCGACACCATTTTGAAGTATGGGGACACTGAATACATGTGACGTGGAGGCTGCATGGATGACTGGTTTCTCCTGAGTGGGGAGGCACCAGCAGCCAATCGCCAACCAGGGGAGTCCCCCAGTGGCCAATTGCTGACCCCAGAAGCATCAGCAGCAAAACTGGATGTACTGCCGGCACCCCCATCCCCCGGCTGGTGCCAGTCTCGGGGTTTGGGGATGAGGGTGGGGGTGGGGGCACTGGCCAGTGCTTTTCTCAGCGCCCCCACTCCCCAACTGGCAAGGGCCATTCACAGGGGGGGCACATGCCCATGGGTGACTGGTGCCTCCCAAGTTTGGGGGGGCACCAGCAAGGCATGACCGGGGGGGAGAGTGTCCCCAAGTGGCCGGTCACTGAGCATGCCAGTAGCTTCTGCCACTGATGGAGCCAAATTTGTGCCCCCTACCAGCCGGAACGTTTGCTGTCAGGGGATCATAGTGCTGTCAGAGGGGCACATGCCCCTCCACGTGTTGCCTGTGCAAATGTGTCATTCCCCCCCCACAACCCGGTGCCTCCCCTATGCATCACCTATGCTGCTGCAGTACTGCTCAGTTAATCAAGTCTGTTCCAACACATGCTTATTAGCATGCATTGGAGCAGACATCCAGCATGTGTATAGGTGCCCATAGCTTCCTGTGGTGGGCCTTTAACCCAACGGATCCCACAGTGGCAAATAGGCCTGTGTCACACCATTGTTTTAAACCTGTGACCTCAGTCCTGTCTCTCTTTTCTCTTTATTTGTCCCCTGAACTCGTTTGTGTTCCCAGTAGCCTCCCTACTGAGAGAGGCTTAGAGCTCTTCCTTGAGGTGCCCAAGCTTGCAATCCACTAGGCACAACAAAAGGACCTGTGTCACACAAAGGTAGAAAGCAAATGCTGAAAGGGAGATCAAACAGAGTATGTTTCTTTCTCACTTGCAGCCTCCAGCATTTAAGGCCTAGAAGTTCTGATTCAGAAGCTGTGCCCCTAACTGCCATGCTCAGTAATTGCTGTTGTATATTTCCTCCAAGAATTTGTCTAATCCCTTTTTAAATTTGCTTGCCCAGGAAGTGGAAGACTTAGGGCCCCTATACCAGTATGAGGAAAATGACGCGCACCGGCAGCCTTTTACGTCATGTGCATCAGCGTTGCTGTGCAACTCTGCACTGAAAAAATGGTGGTGGAGCGCTTTGAAATAAAACATGTTTGATGAGCTTTAGTTGAAAGTGCCCTGCCACCATTTTTTCAGCGCAGGGGATGTATGTGATGGTGATACATGTGACAGGTGGGTGCTTTTAATTAGCAGAGCTTGCTAATTAAACCACCCAGTGCTGTGTCCCACAGCATGTGTCAAAATGTTCCTGGAGTTATAGGCCCCTCCTGAGATTTGAGTGTGCATTTGCCTGATTTCCCAGCATAGTATTCTAACCACCGGGCCACAAACTAGGTGTTTTTCAGGACCTTCTTCAGCCCTCCTTGTGAGACTGAACCATTGGGCAGATTAGAGAAAGAGATATAAAAGGCCATAAGGAAGCAAGCAAGTTGGAAGGTGTTGAGGTAGAAGCCGCTTGGGAATAGAGCAGACAAAGTTGTGGCTTGGACTAAGTCAGGGGTGGACAAAATGCGGCCTGTGGTCAGATGCGGCCTGCCAGACTGTTCTATCTGGCCTGCAGGGCCCCTAAAAATGTAGAAAATTAATATATATCTGCCCCTGGCTGCCTGTCACGCAGCCCTCGATGGCTTGCCAAAATTCAGTAAGTGGCCCTCCACCCTATATAATTGCCCGCCCCTGGACTAAGTTATGACTTGGACCCTTGCTGTCACTAGGGCAGAAACTGCTCCACTAGATTGATTTTTGCCTATTTTATTCACTGGCCTTTAAATGCAAACTAAAGTGCAGAAGCTCAGCTTCAGAAAGAGCTTTTGTGTCCACACTGCACAGAGCTTAATAGAATTGCACGCTATATATGTGCCAGAAATGCCACTTGTGCAGTCAGAAAACTGCCATTTGGGCATACAAAGGGGACTAGAATAGCATCCTGCGTTTCTCAGAAGACTGAGAATTGGATGCTTGCAATAATAAAGACTGGTGTCAGGAACCAGAAATACTGTCATGTGGAATCACATTGACACTACGTGGTTCAGCA